AACGAATCCTTTCACGAACTGCAACAAGATGTGGCGAAGTATAAAGACCTTTGACGAAATCAAAGTCGATTGAGAATTTTTAAACCGTAAAAAAAAATATATATATATTTATCAAAAAAAAAAAAATATAAAAATAAAAGACCTGTACGAATCTGACTTTGATTATAATGTCTTAAGATTGATTCTACCAATGCACTTGTTGAGCCTTTTCCCTTTGTACCAGCAATATGAATAACATTTAACCTATCAAAGTCACTAGGCTTTTTATTAGATAAGATTTAAAATTTAAAAGAGTTGTTATTAATACATTAATTGATTGAAACATATAATTGATTATATTTACCTCATATCCGATCGTTCTACAAAATTCCCTTAATTCCGGCAAACTTTTTCTATTCAAACTACCACCGGAAGCACGAATAGCTTCTAATATCGCTGAATTTGTTTGTAAAGAATTTAGACTATTTACCGCGTCCTTATCATGATTTTTTTATTAAAAAAAAAAAAAAAATAATTTATAAATATCCCGAAATTAATAAATAAATAGATATAAAAATTTGAAAGTTATGAAAAATGTAATACATTGTAAGTGCGATTGTCTTGCATGGTTGAATTTTTAGTAGAATTTTTAGTAGAATTATACTTTTTATGACAAAGATTTATTGTAAGATTATAATAAAAGTTCCGATTATTGCTATGAAACAAGGTTGCACCTTTTTGCATTCGTTTTTTCTTTTTTTTTTAAAAAAAAAAAAAAGGATCGAAAATATTGATTTTCTGTGGCTCATCTTTAACGTTCGAAGATTTCATGTTGATTGGCCGATTGATCAGGTTACACAGATTTTATAATTGATGCCACCAGTGCTAGAAATTTTTGCAATTGCAATTTAATATTCCAAAAATAATAAGCGGATTTCCAATTTATATTCATCGATTTCGATTTTAGTTTAAGTTAATCTGTTGAGAAAAGATGCGTTCTATATAAGTATTAGATAAGGGAATAATAACAAAAATATGGTTTTGTAAAAAAAAAATTATAATATCTATATTATTTAAATTTTGAATATTTTTCATTCTGTTTTAATTTCTGTTTATTAATTAATGCTAAATTAATTTTACCATTTTTTATTTTATATCATTATCATAAAAATTTGCCAATATTTTAATTTCAGCATTTTCATAATTTGATAAGGTAATAACCTTGGTTTAAAGATTTTTATTGTATTATATAAATTTGTATCTAAAAAATAAGATTTTAAACTTTGAATTATTGTTGTTAAAAATTCAAATATAGAAGAAGAAAGATGTTCTTAACTTGTAAATTTTTGATTATATGAATTCTTTTGTAATAGAAAAAGAAGAAATTACCAAAAAATTTTTTTGAATTAATATTAAATCTGAACTTATTTTACTAAAAAAATAATATTTAGCTTATAGTAAATTTCTTTCTTTCTACTGCAAAGTGCTTATATATGCAAATCTATATATTAATTTTGTATCATTATATCTGATAAATTATATTATAATTACTAATATTATTGCTTTTAAATTAAATAAAATATTAGAAATAATATATAATTTTATTGAAATATATTAAATTAATACAAAATTTAAATTTAGATCATATAATAATCCTTTAATCTTTTCTTAATTTTGTTTATTTTTAGCTATTATTATATCATCATTTAAAGCATTATTAATAGAATAAAAAATTTAGTATAAATTATTAATAATATTTGATATAAAAAACTATTGAGTATTAATGATATTAAGTAAATTTAATTGTGAATCATTATTTGCTTCTTGAATCATTTTTAAATTTAGTATTGTGAACGGGTAAATGTGACGCAGCTCATATGGTGCAGAAGATTGACCGATTTAACATAATTGACATATATGATATGTCAGACATATTTGATATATTTGACATATTTGACATAGTTAATATAGTTGATATAGTTGATATATTAGATATAGTTGATATATTAGACATATTAGACATATTAGTTATATTTTTCTATATATTTTATTTTATATAAATAAGTAGCTTTTTAATTCATGTAAAAAGACAGATTAAAATTCGACAAGATAGTTTTAGTAGTTTTAGAGGCAACTGGCCTACTGCGTCACCTTTTAGCTTTAGTATTCCGTTTCTTTTCTCTCTTATTTTTCTTCTTTATTTCTTTTACTTTTCTTTTCTTTATCGTTATTATTATTTTACTTGAAAATAAACATATTATTTATAAACATAATTTACTGGAAATCTGTTGAATCGTAACCTGTTTTGATAATAAGAATACTTTGGTAAATCGTCTGAGTTAAAGCTTGTAAATTATTGAAAGATTACTGCGCAATTAAAAAGAATAAACCGCTCGAACACCCCGTCTAACAGTCATAGTTCACAAGAATTACACGTTAACAATATTATATAATAGCTTAAAAAAAGAAACTAATAGGATGAAATTATAGAATACTTGTATAATTTATATTATAAAAAAAGAAAATTAATAAAAATAATGAATAAGAAATATAAATATATAAAAATGTAAAAGAAAAGAATTAATTATTAAAAATTAATGAAAAAAAAAAAAATAGAAATAATATAATAATAATATTATAAAAGACATATAATGATAATATAATAAGAATATATAATAATCATTAAAATAATGAATAAAAAGAAAAATAAAAAATAATGAAAAAGAAATATAAAAAAAAAAGAATTTAGGAAAAAGTAAAAAGTTAAAAATAAAAGTTAATAGAGAAATTAGAATTTGTAATTAGAAGAAATATTAGTGAATTTATAAATAAATATAATATAATATTAAAAATATTAGTGAAGAAATAATATAATATCAGTAAGTATTAATAGAGAAATGATATAATATTAGAAAATATTAATAAAAAATATTATTAAGATAAAATAGGAATTAGAATTTAATATTGAAAAGAAATTGAGATTAGATTTATTAAAAAAGAATAGGAATTAGAAGAAAAATCTATAATTTGATTGATATAAGCATAATAAACATTTAACTTATATGTAATTTTATTGGTTGAATTTTATGATGATCATTTTTGAAATATCATATAATTATTAATTTTGATTAGTACAAAATTGATCATTATAAAAATAGAAAGGTTAATTTTAGACAATTAACAAATATTTTTTAGCTATTTTTTTATATATTTTTATATAAAATTTCTTGAAATAACGTTAAATTAAAATACAAATTTTTTATAATAATCATAAAAATTAGAAAAAAAAAGTAGAAAATTAAAAGGAACTTACAATATTAAATTAAAAAGTAAAATTATAAATGCATTAAATATTATATATTTAAACTACTATCTAATAATATTTGTGATTAATGTATCAAATATTTAAATGTTTAGATTAAGAAAAAAGTATAATATTTGTATATAATTATACTTTTTATCATAAATGTTTTTCAGAACAAAATAATAATTGTATAAAAAGGTGTTATTTTTAATATAAAATCTTATATAAAGATTATAAAAAGATAATAATATTAATAATAGTTTATTAGATAATAAAATATTAGATAATGAAGAAGCAGCAATAGTAAAAAAAATATTGGTAAACTTTAAAATTGGTAATTATAAATTATTAAATAAAATATATTGTAATATATAAAATTTTAATCTTAAAATTTTAGCTTTCATCTAACTTTCTTAAGAGCAAAAATCTCTAGATCTTTTTTTACTCAAATATAAAAAGAAATAAATAATATATTGATGCAAAATAATTGTGTATCAATAGATTAGTTTTTAAAATATTATTGATCTTTTTTTATTACTTTAAATCAATTAAAATTAAATATTATACAATATAAAATAGATCAATATTTGATTTCATTATCACATGATATAACAAATATTCATTATGCTATTAATATTAGAATTTATATAAATAGAGATAAAATTTTTATTATATCATTAATATTGATTATACCTAAATATTGAATTTAAAGAATAAGTAAATGTAAATGAAATTAAAGATTAACAGAAACTTGACTTTTACTAATAGGTCTGTAATAAATACTGTTTTATATTTTAAATTCAAAGATTTATAAATAAATATAAAAGTAATTAGTTAGTAATTAGTAGATTAGATACTTTATAAAAAGTTATAATGATAATAAATTGTATTATATTATTACAGTATCATCTAATTAAATTATTATTTAAGATAGAGATTAGATTCAATTTCTATATGAATTTGATAATATAGATATGACAGTCATCTACCTTTTTGAATTTTATATAAAATGATAACTTCTAAGATATAAACCTTATAAAGTTATTTTGTTTAAGCTTTTCTAATCAAAATATCCTAATAATAAATAAAAATCATAGTGATTCTGATTGATATTAAAATAAATAGGAAAGTAATGATCTTTATGACTGAAAGTGATCTTCTATTCAAATTTAACAGTGATTCTAAAGGTCTATAATCTAGTAGCAATCTTCAAGTCAATATTAAATAAGCAGATTCTAATTAGAACTTAAGTTCAACTATAACTTTAAAGTTTAGATTAATATAGAAATAATCAAAATATGCGTATAATAATTAATAAATTTTAGTATTTAAATACTAAAACTATAAAAAAAATTATATAAATTAGTAACTTATATAACTCTAACTATATAATAATAAAGAAATTTATGCATAAATTTAATATTTAAAAAGAAATAATAGGTTTTATCCTAATTTTAATATAATTATTAGTTTATAAAATAATAAATCTGAATATTATAAATATAATAAAATTAAATTATAGAATGAATAAATAAATAATATAAATGATATAATTATTAATGAATTTTATGAGAAACTAATATTTGTATTTATTATAAAAGAAAAATTAAAATAGAAGAAATATTATGAAATATAAATTAAAAGAAACTTAAAACAATTAAATAGAAGATCTAAAAAAAGAAAACATTAAGAAAAAACTGAATAAAAAATGAAGATATTAATATTTTAAAATAAAAGAAAGATAATAAATGGAAAAGAAAAAATAACTAAATAGATAATAAAGAAGATTATATAAAAGAATATTATAGAATGAAAAGAATTATAAAAAGAAAAAGAAAGTGAAAGAGAAAATTAGTAAGAAAAACTATAAAAATAATAATGAAGAATAACAAAAACAAATATAAAGAATAGAAGAAAATGAAAGATAAAACTATTATAGAGAATTTAAATATTTGAGAATAAGAAATTCTATTCAAAAATGATAAAAAAAACTAAAATATAATGTAAAAACTTTGAAGAAAAGATAATAGAAAAATATTAAAAAAAATGATTAATAAATAATAAAGAAGAAAATTAATAAGAAAAATGAAATAAAAAATAATAAATTATAATAAATAATAATAAAGAATTTAAATATTAAAACTTAGATAAATAAAAATTAATTTGTAAAAAATCATTTTTAATGGTAAATAGCAGAAATATATTAAACAGATACAGATTTTATTAAAGCTAATAAATTTAAAAATGTCATACATTTATAAAATTAGATTTTAATAATACAACATTTAAATTTCATCATAATAAATCAGAACTTTGCATTTTT